TGTGGAAAAATGTGTCTAAAAACATACTAGAACATTAAACACTAACAGATTTCTTCCTATAATAATTTTGTGCAAAAACACGCAACACAACAATTGATTTCAACATTTACTTTCCTTATACAGTCTGTATCAAAGCATGCTGGGAAAATCAGATTTTTTGTGCAGAATTGTTAATGAAGTTACTCAGTTTCTTAAATGATTGTTAAAGATCAGGAATATAAATTTTTGATTCATACTTATGAAATAAGTAATAATTGCAGAACTTGAAACTTAACAGAATCATTTCTCCATTCACTAATATTTTGATTGATTTTAATTTAACAAAAATATTAAATATATCTTAAAGGGGTCATCGGATGCCCATTTTCCACAAGTTGATATGATTCTTTAGGGTCTTAATGAAAACATATTTTGGTTAAAATTTCTCAAAGGTAGTGTAAAAAAACACCCTTTTTACCCAATTTAGGTCAACCAATTACCAAGCAATACTTAATTTTGTTCAGTCTGTGGTGTAAAAAGTTCACATACACTCTTAAAAACACTGTTGACTGAAATAACATAGGAAATGAATAGGGGTCCTTTTAGACCCATGTTGTGCATTAGAGGGGAAGTGATACAAAAAAGTTTTTTATTAAAAAAGTAAGAAAGGAAAAATGAAAATAATGATTTGTGATGGTCAAAAACAGTCACTTTAGACCCATGTTGTGCATCAAAAGGTTAAACCTTAAAAAAATATAATTTAAATGTTAGTCAAACATCTCTCTCTCTCTCTCTCTCTCTCTCTCTGTGTAAAAACTTAAATAATAGATGTACATTTATACAATATTAACTTTTTAGGCATTTATTTAGGTATTTCCAACTTAACCAATCACTTAAATAATATTAAGAGATTTTATTAAAGTAGTATAGTAAATTATTACAGTCATATTTACAAAGCCACTTAATTATTTTTTAGAGTGAAAACAATCTATACTATATATATATATATATTGTAAATTAAAGATATACATTAAACTCATTTTTTTCAATTATTTTTTGTTACTAGCTCACCACACTAGACAGGCAGCATTTAACATAATATCTCACATTATTACTGTTTTACTGTATTTTTTATCAAATAAATAAATCCTTAGTGAACATAAGAAACCTTAAAAAAAATAAAATAAAATCATACCAACCCCAAAGCATTGAATGATAGTGTGTGTGTGTGTGTGTGTGTGTTGTACTAGAAACTGACCAGAATGTGATAATTGTCTCCTCTACCCCAATTCAAATTTTGCCTACTGGCAATTCAAATATAGTACCATGCCAGGTTTGATGTAAATAATGGCAAATATCATTGATTCTCATGGTGTGGCTCGCCAAATTTGAATATATGCATATTTAAAATGCATAAATAAGGTCTGAGAGCTGGTGGAAGGGAAGAATATCAATGAATAAATTTCGGTCTATTCCCCCCCACACAGGTATTGTATGCCTTCAGGCGACTTAATATAGTGCACAAGTCACAGACTACTTTTATGGTACTTTTATAGTGTTTTGACCTTTTGAGAGCATGACACCTCCAGTTTCCATTCACTTTCTGAACAGTAGCCATTCTATTATTCAGAAATGTACAGTAGCTTTAAAAAAAAGAAAATCATATGGGTTTGAAACGACATGAGATTGAAGGAGAACATGACTTTTTTATTATATTATCACCTATTTTAGGCACTAAACTCCTACTTCACCTGTAAACAGTAATGAATCTGTTCTTTATTAGCATCTGTAGTTCATGAAGAACATTTAATATCCAAATAATTCTATTGCATAAAAGGTTCTTTATAGAAGAAAGGGTTCTTTAGATTATTAAAACATTCTTAACATTAAGAAAAACAAAAACTCTTTACTGAAAGGTTCTTTGGAGAACCCAAAATGGTTCTTCTGGCATTGCTGCGAGAAAAACAACAACAACAAAAAAAAAAGTTTTGGAATCTTTATTTCGAGTGCATAAGAAATACTAAATGCCATAATGCTAAAATGTTTGGGGTGGTTGCTTAATGGACCAAGTCAAAAATCTCTGGTCTCTAGATATGTAGTATTTTTCATTAGTAACATTAATAAACATTGTTGCATTCTGCTTTGCCATTAATCAAAATGTAGTTTTTGAATTTCTTTAGTGGGTACAACCAAGTAAATTATATCAGTCTCTGTTTTACACTGTTAAGCCTAGGAAAAAATCCCATCAGTCTAGCCGTCTCATTCTAGTGTGAAGATTGCTCATCGAAAATAATTGTGCCTCTGATATACTCGAGGAATCGACTGAACGCATCAATAGCTTTGTGTTTGTCTGTTCTCTCCCTGGACCTCTTTGTTAGTTCACTGCGTTTCTTGGAAAACACTCAGCTGTAAACAGCATGTGAAGATATCAAGCAGAAAGGCAGATCTTTTCCCCAGCTTTATAGTGTCTTATAAGCTGAATTTCATTTAATTAGCTCTCAGCTTATGTTAGCTGCCGCCAAAGAGTTTCAGGAGATTATGGACTAATACTTGAAAACACTTTCAATAAAGTTAAAGTTTCGACCTCGCTGTCCTTGCCAAGCCAAAACCAGTCAAGGAACTTTACCTTTGGAAGGTATATTACAACTCTTTCAAGGGTCCGATGACACTGACAAAGACACAAAAGGCTCATTTGTGCTGTGGCCTGAAACTGTCACTTGATTCTTGCTGACTTTTGTGCTAGGGCTAAATGAACTTGAAAATCCTTCTAACTGAATGGCTATCAAATCTTCCATTTGAAAGCAATGGAAAGCTTAACCCCCATGTACTAAGAGTCAGGCAAGTCTAATGAGAAGGCTTGTGGTAAGCCCTAGGATTTGAGTTACTAACCCAGGCAATGCATTTGTGGGCGCTGTCCAAGGTATTGTCATTAACCTAATGTTCTGGTGGATGAAGTACACCATCTGACTTGCCTTGGAATTGAATATTGAAGCTAGCCAATATTAAACCGCATAAGTAATTTAAATATGTATAATTGTGTGCATAGAACATTTGCTTTTCATTGGCAAAATGTACCTAAAGTATCATGTTTTTTGGACATGTACCATGCATGATAATGTATAATTACCATTGGCTAAATATGTTAATCATTCAAGACCACAGTATATATCAAAATACCATGGTATTACCATCTGATAATATCACTCTACTGTACCTCTTCATGTTTTTTAATGAAATTAATTTATTCAAAATATTCATTTTGACACATTCATTTTCAAAATTAAGAATATATATTAAAAAAATTCTCACATTGAATTATAGTGACAGGGTGATTGTAGGGAATCAGATTTCTATGTTGTCGTACTGACACTCATTCACAACCCTAAATAATCTGTTCCAGCAGATGGCCTCATTGAGCCATTTCATATGCAAAAGCCTGCTTAAGCCATGTTTTTGTCCCCTTAAAATAACCTGTTCTGCTCTAGTTTTAAGGTTATTTAATCAGAACTGCATTCCATGTTCTGAAAGCATATAAGGTATTGGTCATTAAGCTGTATTGATGTATAACGATACAAAATTTAATTATTAATTAATGTATGTGTAATTATTTTGCAACTAGAAGAAACGAAACGTCCATGATGTATATTTTATAATCGATTTATGAGGGTTTTTGATGGCCACCTCCTACAAAGGTACTTAAGTATGGCAAGCCAATTTAATGTTTACTTCTTCAGAATAACTACTATTGTGTTACTGGCTTTATTTATTTTTTTAATTACTTTTTAGTTATCTATTATTGACTAGCAGCTTTAATATATATATGTAATTCCTTTGCTTCTGCTAGATAATAGTACCTATTTATGAGACACTAATATCTATCACATTGTATGATATATAATACAAAATATGAGTAACAGTTGGAGTATGAAGTGAATATCTGATATCTGAACCACAGATCACCATAGAATTCATTGACAAAAAAAAAGCAATTTATTGAATAAAATAAAATTACAAGAATACAAAAAAGAACTTGACTACATTATTAGATATTAATCACTATGGAATAAGTGTTGGTGTCTACTGAATAGTTGCTAGTAAAATTAAATTGGAAAAAAGTATGATATCTTAACAGTGTTTAAAAAAGGAGTAGCCTACTTAGTAACATAAAATTAGTTTGATGGAATGCATGTTTAAATGGCTTGCCATAACTTCAGACCTGTCAGAGTTTCTCAGTGCAAGCCCAGCACATGAGACTGACTGACCGCAAGCCTTCTGAAAAACTCAAGGAAACTATTGCACTGACAAAAACAAACCTGATGATGCTCAAGACTATTCGCATCAGTCTCCAGAGACAGACATATATTTTTTTTTTACGGTGCAGAAATTGAAATCAATAGATACTTTCAAGGCTAATTCGTGTTTTTTTTTTCTTCTTCTTCTTTTTTTCTTTTAGCTTATTTATTTATTTATTTTTAAGTAATGCACCGTAACGTTGACATTGCAGGAATATGCACGCTCGACTGCTAATGCACATGTGATGCTGCGAGACAGGACGAGAGTATGAGCTATAATTCCACATGATGTGCATGGGACGACAACTGCCTTTCCTTACAAGACCGATGCAAACGCCTTAAAACCACTTTTAAGGAAATCTAAAGGAAGGAAGATGCTTTTTCTTCACGCGCAAAATGGAACGGGGACAAATCGGACGCCTGAAACGCGAGAAGTGCGCCAAATTGCGCCTATGACTTTACTGTTGAGTCTGGTGCATTTGCAGCTTATGATCAGTAGAATCGAAATGCGCTGAACGCAACACAATACAGGATATATACAGAAACGCAACGCAGAGGGGAATGAAAGACTTTGTTATCGGTTAAGTGAAGCCTTTTGGCAAGCACTTGAGAAAAGGAGCGGAGAAATCTTCAAATGCGCACCTCTTGCGGTTTCTCAAACGAACTGTCACCCGCTCTCTCTCTCTGGACGGAGAGTCAGCTTTGGGAACAACATGACACATACAGAAACGCAACGCAGAGGGGAATGAAAGACTTTGTTTGTTATCGGTTAAGTGAAGCCTTTTGGCAAAGCACTTGAGAAAAGGAGCGGAGAAATCTTCAAATGCGCACCTCTTGCGGTTTCTCAAACGAACTGTCACCCGCTCTCTCTCTCTGGACGGAGAGTCAGCTTTGGGAACAACATGACACGGACGCGCTTCTGCTGTCATTAACGGGGACAAATCAGAGCAACGCAGCGGCAATCCGATCAATAGACTGTCGATAAGCTCATATATAAGGCTAATCATCACGCCTGCCTATGTTTGCTTAACCTGTTTAGGAGAGTATGCTGTGGGACGATGAACAAACTGCTGACAAGGTACTGAAAGCAGAAACGGTCTTAATTAGACACTAATCTGTTTATAAGCAAGATTAAGTGATAATTAGACTAAATGTATGTTTTTTTTCTTCTTCTTCTTTTAGTCATATTATGTTCATTGGGAAGATCTGTGGGAGTTCATGGATCTATTTTTGAGCTCCTCAAGAGATTTTTACATTTAAATTATGATATGTGTTTTGCAAGATGACTGCTACAGTCAGCATAGCGTCAGACAAACCAGATCAACTAGTTGCTCCGATTCCTGTGTAAGCACTCTCGGTTTGGTGTGGAATTATGGGGTGACTGCTCAATCGACTCGGTGAAGAAGCTATGGATGTGAACTACTCCACGGTCCTGGACAGCAGTGTGTCACAGCGCGATTCGTCGAAGCGAGTTCTGACTGGTTGTTTCCTCTCGCTCCTCATCCTGACCACCCTGCTGGGCAACACTTTGGTCTGCGCTGCGGTCACAAAGTTTCGCCACCTGCGCTCAAAAGTCACCAACTTCTTTGTTATATCGCTGGCTATTTCTGACTTGCTGGTGGCCATTTTGGTGATGCCATGGAAAGCGGCCACCGAGATTGTAGGGTTTTGGCCGTTTGGCGCCTTCTGCGATGTCTGGGTGGCCTTTGACATCATGTGTTCCACCGCCTCCATCTTGAATCTGTGCGTCATCAGTGTGGACCGCTACTGGGCCATTTCTAGCCCATTCCGCTACGAGCGCAAGATGACGCCCAAGGTGGCGTTCATCATGATAAGTGTGGCGTGGACACTGTCCATCCTTATCTCCTTCATCCCCGTGCAGCTAAACTGGCACAAAGCCCAGGTGACCATTTACACGGAGCTGAACGGCACCTACGGTGAGCTTCCCCCAGACAACTGCGACTCCAGCCTTAATCGGACATATGCCATCTCCTCCTCCCTGATCAGTTTTTACATACCTGTGGCCATTATGCTGGTCACTTACACCCGCATCTACCGCATTGCCCAGAAGCAGATACGCCGGATCTCGGCACTCGAAAGAGCGGCCGAAAGCGCCAAGAACCGCCACAGTAGCATGGGTAACAACGGCAGTATGGAGTCTGAAAGTTCCTTCAAGATGTCCTTCAAGCGTGAAACCAAAGTTCTCAAGACCCTCTCGGTCATCATGGGCGTTTTCGTGTGCTGCTGGCTGCCCTTCTTCGTCTTGAACTGCATGGTTCCTTTCTGTAACCCCGACGAGAGCTCTGACTTCTTCTGCATCAGTTCTACCACCTTCGATGTCTTTGTCTGGTTCGGTTGGGCCAACTCCTCACTCAACCCTATCATCTATGCCTTCAATGCTGACTTCCGAAAGGCATTCTCCATCCTGCTGGGCTGCCATCGACTCTGCCCAGGCAGCAACGCTATAGAGATTGTGAGTATCAACAACAATGGTGGCCCTCCGTCTACTTCTCAGTATCAGCCTAAGGGCCACATCCCCAAGGAGGGCAACAACAGCAACTATGTGATCCCTCACAGTATCCTCTGCCAGGAGGAGGAGAACCAGAAGAGGGAGGACGACTCTGGTATAAAGACCTTTGAGAAACTGTCACCTTCCATGTCAGGCAATTTGGATAGCGATGCAGATGTCTCGCTAGAAAAGATAAACCCCATAACACAAAAAGGGCAGCAAAAATCCATAACCTGCTGAGTACTGGGTGAGATCTGCCCCCAACAAAGAATCCTTGTTTCTATAATGTCCGGAATCCCCCCCCCCCAAAAAAAAGCTTCACTGAAGACCTTAAAAACATTTCTTGGACTACATGAAACTTGCGGAAAACAAAAGAATGTTCCAATTGATGGCACTTTATGCTGGATAACTGTCTGCAAAATATTCGCAGCATTTATGATTGACGTTACCAGGTCAGTTGTAGCAAGACATAAATGGAAAGTAATGTGAATAAACCATGTATGCATATGTATACATGTTATGCATTTAAAATGTGTATACATGCGCATGCCCATGTGGTTGTGGTAGAACTGCTGTTGTTAATACAAGAGTTAGGTCACTAGTAAAATATCTTGTAGGTGAGTTTACGTAAACAGCTCACGAGTAGAGAAATCCGGTTGCGTCTACTGTCGACAATAAAATGTACATAGTGTTGTTTATATTTTTCACCATTTATCAGAGTTGGCTAAGTCAGCATCTCCTTACGCTGCTAGTTGTGAAATTGTATGTGCAAACCACCCCATAATGTAACTTGAGAGCAGTAGCCATTCTCATCCTAGTTCTCTACGTGTGCATTGGTGTGATGTCGAAGAAGAAGTCGAAGAGCAGTGGATTTTTCTGCTATGTGATTTATCAGCTGTGGAAGTGACCAATTTAGTTCACATTGACTCTCATAACCCACATAGTTCACATTGACTCTAAAGAGAAAGACTCTCATATTTCGCCTTCAGTAATACCAAAATGCTGAGGACATCATTATCAGCAGCCTTTGCCAGCTTCCTTCTCACTTACCCGAATACTCTCCTCCTCTCTAAAAGCTTGACAGAATGAACTACAACCGCTCTATATGTTTGACTCCAAACTATATGAATTGAGAAAATGTGTCCGTGCGACTTGGACAACTTGGGGAGAGAGAGACTAGATGAACAGACTTCAGTACACATAATTGTCTAAAATTGGACATCTGCTCCAGGGAATTTTCCAGAAGACTCTGTTTACTCATCTGCCTGTCAAAGACCCGTTCTTCACAATGCTGCTGTGGAAATATTCAGCTATATGTTTTATAGAAAGTTCATCTTAATGACCTCCACGTTTCAAATAGCATTTTTAGCTTTAATGATGGAATATATAAGATAGTTGGTTTCAGCAGCATTCAGTTAAGCAACATCAGATTTATTTTCTCCAGTGAGGTGATTAGCATTTAAAATGAACCTTTGTGACATTCTGAAAAAGTCCCAGGTGCTTCTTTTATTGCAAATGCAAAGGTATTCCCAGAAACACTGGGGAATCATGGGTGGTCCTTTAATTAGAAGTGAATAAAATAACAGTGAGCCAAGTTTCTCTTTTTTAAACCAAAGATTGCAGGTTTATTTTTTGATTTTGCAGGTGTTGTTCTATATACTTAGACAAACCAGTGATTTCAGGTTGGTTTTCTCTGTTCCTTTCGGAGGAGGTTGTAAATGACAGTTGGTGACAATGGTGAGAGCTTACGATACTGTGTGACAGTGGCAGCACAAACCCCTTGGATCATAACTTTATCAGCTGCATTGTACCACTATTTATGAACATTCATTCCAAGGTGATACAACCTTAACCTCAGATGCTTAACGAAATTAGTGCATTGTAACATAAACAGGAGAAAAACTAAAACGTGTTGTAAGATGTTAAAATAGAGATGTGAACACAAGTGCTTTTTATCTTTAAGTCCTTAATCGTGAGTAGAGAAAACAAATGTATGTGTTGTTTTCATGTGGGTTTGTCATGCAGTTAAAGCACTGTACCAGTTTCCGTGATTCCATAAAGTAGGTTGTGTTCCTGGATTAACACGTTTTGTTTGTCCTGGAACAACATTCTTGTGCTTTTGTGAACATGAACTAACCCCAAAACTAGACAGAAATGTTTGGTTGATAATGTTTTTGAAGCCCCAACCCCAGCCTTGAAGGAATACTCTGGGTTCAGTACAAGTGCAAACAAACAGCAACTATACCCCAGCTAATAGTTTTATAAAAGCATTCTTCTGTTAAAAGTACAGTATTTAATGTTAAAATAGTTAAAATAGTTTTTACAGTAATTTTATGTTTTTATGATGACAAAACTGTAAAGCTGGATACGACTTTACACAGAAAAGGTTTAAATCATGCTAACTTGCATATTGTGGATACATTTATGGACTGGCCCCATTCATTTCAGTTGTAACCCAAAGTTTTGCTTTTTGAAACAAAATGAGGGATGAGTGGAAATTCATATTTGTGGCAATCAACATCGACTGAGCTTAACTTGTACTGAATCTGGAATATTCCTATTCCTGACCCCAAACCTAGCCTAAAAATTTGACTGGTTGACAGGAATGTTGTTCCAGGTCCACTAAGGATGTCGATCGAGGAACATGTCCTACTTGGAAACATCACGGTTGCTGTACAGGTTCGTATGTGTGCTGCAGTTCTTCAAGGTATACCCAACAAATTTATTACAGTACCTAGTTTACAGTTTGTATAAAACAGCCCCTTTCTATTTGCTAAATAAAAGTGTATGTTGTTTTTGTAATCTTGTTTGCTATATATTTTCCCTTGTTTTCATTTTATGAGAAGCCGCAGAATCTGTTATGAGGTATGTCACTTCTAATTCTTTATTTAAAGGTCAACTCTTTGCAGAAAATCAATCGTTATTGATTACACCATCAATGACGCACTTTTGTCAGCTAGAAGTGTGTCCTCAATCGGGCAATTTACATAACATTTTGTATTGAGAAGGAAATTTCAGCTCCTTTGATTGATTACAGTTTTTCTAACCTTTATTGTCATTCTGTGGGCTGAAGGCTTGTGCGATGAGAGGTATGAGGAGTGATGTGACATGTCATAGGGCCCCTGGAGTAAACTGGAGTTAAGTGTTTTATCCGAGGGCAAAATAGGATGGACAGACAGGAGACTAGAATGTTAGTATCAGTAACTCAAGGGCAAGAACTAACTCTGACTCCCACGATGATCCACCTGGATATGAATCAATGACATGAGTTCACCCAAAAATCAATGAAAAATGAACATTATTTAATACCTGTCCGAAACCTGAATGACTTACTTTCTGTCTTGGATTTTTGGGGGAACTACCCCTTTAACACTTGTTCTACCCCCCGTTTTTGAGCATTTTGTGACGAGACTGTCGTTATTGATTTAATTCAAATTTTCAAACAGGATACCAGCAGAATTTGAACCTTGAAGTGTTATTCTACCCTGAAAGTTGGCAAAACGGATTCAGTGCATAATAAAGATGCTGCACGCAGGAGTTCAGCTTTAGTTACAATATTTGTTGAAGGTCAAAATAAATGAGGAGAAGATGTGAATAAATATTATACCACAATCACAAACATTTCTATCCGGACGGGATTAGATTTCTCAGAGGATCCCAGAGTTATCCAAAGAACAGTTGGCAATTTGCTCCATAATTTATACTGAGATTGTGTGAGAAAAACAGATGTGTTCAATTCAGAAGAGATTAAAATCATAAAGTAAGTCTGGGAAAAACTCTAATTTACCTGACCTCCTGAGGGAAGACTAGTCCTGTCTGAATAGGACAATTTCAGAAATTACACACTAACAAAAATGTTATCTTTGAAAAGTTTGGAAAGTGAAATGAAAATGAAAATGTAAAAAATGAAAAAAGTAGAGGTATATTCAGGCGGCACTTTTTCATGCATCCAAATTGACTGGTTTATACCTAATTTATGTGTTATTTATATGCTCCTATAAGGACAAAAATGTTACAATAAAAGTAGTCCGTATGACTTGTGTATACTATTTTCCAAGTCTTCTGAAGCCATACAATACCTAAGCTTTAATGGTTAAGTAAAATGGTCTACTTCAGTTGCAAAGAAAAGAGCAGCCAGGGCATTCCACTAAATATCTTAATTTTCATTCCTCAGTCGAAAAGAAGGTGACAAAATTAATTGACGGTTTTCAATTCTGAGAGAATTATTTTATTAATGTTTGACAGAAATGCATTCTCTCCAGTATTCCTTCAGCAAAAAAATGTTCCCTAACAAATGCTAATTCTTAATTTCATATACCATTTATGATACAACAATGTAAAGTTATGAATATATATATATATATATATATATATATATATATATTAGTGCTGTCAAACAATTAATCACGATTAATCGCATCCAAAATAAAAGTTTTTATTTACATAATATATGTGTGTGTACTGTGTATATTTATTAGTTAGTGAGGACATCATAATCATAAGTCTGTTACTAGCTGCTGTTTTAGTGCTGGGGCAACACTTTGGCCATGTTCCCCCAGGCCTAGTAGTTTTACTTATTTATTTTAATTTATTGATTTAGCTGATGCTTTTGGCCAAATTGACTCAATAATGAAAAATACAAGAATTAATTAATTAATCCAATAGGGAGGAAACAGTACAAGCAGTCCTTCCATGCCATATTTAGTACAACATTAGAGCAGCAGTGCACATGTAGGCTATATATACTGTATATGTATACATGTATATGTATATATATATATATATATATATATTGTTGAGATTCTACAGCATGATGCTGTTACATCACAGTCATTTCATGCTGTCCTTCACCATAAAGTCACAGTACACAGCTGACATTTGCTGTTCTAAATAGTACTTGCAATAAATTGAAAGAGTACTCTAAAAATTACTGTGACAGTATAGTTACTAGTAGCCAAGGAATATACGGCATATTCACATTTTTAGTAGGTAGATTTTGTATGCTAGATGAATTAACAGAATAAAAGCACAAAACACGTGATCAAACACATCATGAATGAATGCATTTTTTGGCACTTATTTCATTGTACTGCAGTCTTAACAGGTTGCTCCGAATGCTTATTTCACTTAGTGAACAGAGCATTTTTCACAACAGCTGAATGAGTCAAAGCCAGTGCACATGGAGGTTGCCTTTAAGGCATTTTCGTTTGGCTCTTATTTTAATCCATAAGGCGTTGCAG